TTTTATCATTTTTGGTCTTATTAAATGAAATCAATATGGTTTTCAACAGCGCCACCATCTGCTCCAAATGTCGTTAGGGCAAAACAGATTGGATCAAAGTGGATCTTATTAGAATGGACGGTCCCCATGAACCAAGGGACTGGAGACAAACTGAAATACATGATAAGAGCAAGCTGTACTAAATGTAAAATTCCACCGGACTTTACAACATCTAACCGTTCTCTCAATGTCACTGGGCTGAGCGCCTACACACGATATGACGTCAGAGTCTATTCTATCAACAATGTCACTGCTGCCATCGGCTTCGACAAAGCTCAGTACAACAGCACTTCAGTTTTGACTGGATCAGGATGTGAGTGAACGTTTGGCTTAAGTTACTCTGTTTTTTGCCTAATGATGTTTTAAGGAACAGCATGTGATTGAACACTTCCTCTTTTTTTGCAAGACTCTGTACTAACCTATGGCATATACATTATTTAATTTAGAAAATTTAAAAAAATTGTTTAATGGTAGCAATGTCCGTGTAATAAGATTAGAAGCCTAAATGAGAAAGTCGAGCTTTTTACAAAATCTTTTTTGAGTTGATTTTACATTCGTTTATTTGGGTAAATATCCCAATAGATATTTCGTTGGTTTATGTACTATATCTCATTTTCAGTGCCCTCGGAGGTTCAGAATCTTGCCAAAAGGACAAACTCTGATGCATCAGTGACAATTTTCTGGAACGAGCCATTGACCAAGGGTGGTGATGATCTGCAATATTTTATCACTGTTAATGATGAAAAGGGAATGTTTACCACCAAAATGAAATACACTGTTAAACAAGATCTAGAAACGAAGAAGTACACTGTGTCTGTAAGTATGAAGTTTTGATTCCCAAACTTTATATCATTGTCCAGAAAATGTTTAAACCTCTCGACCGAAAACGTGTTGGAGGTTTTATGAAAAGAAACAATTTCAGTTGGCACATCCATATACATTATTCTTTGTTTTTTATAAAGTAAGAATCTTCAAGTCAAAAATTTCTCTCACCAACTTTGCCGAATAAAAAATGTGCCTATAAGAAAAGCTGATTGCAACCTTTGGTCAGAATCTGATGATCTACCTTTCTACAGTGTTCTTCGTTACGCTCAGTAATGTTACACAAACTAACATTTATCAAAAGCAGATACCGTATTGACATTATCGTGAACTACGAATGCACGAAAAACTGAACAGATGACATAACAATTGCTGAAAGCGGTATGAAATAATCAATAAACAAGAAAGGTAATGTAGTGATCCGGTTTTTATCTGTGAGTGGTTTGGGGTATCAGGCAGTCCAATTGCAATTTTCGATTTCATCAAAGAAAAGACATCTTCACTAAAGAAGGCTTTACATTTTCTTGAACTCTTCTCTTCTCTCCACATTATCTAAGCATGCTATTGGTTCAATTTTCGACATTTATCAGCTTTTAATTTACCATTCTTGTAACATTTGATCATTTCAATGTGAAAATGCTTTTACTCCAATTATTGGAGAAACACAGGCGATTCTAACAAATCATTAGAGTTTTCATCTGGCCAAATTCTTTCGAGGTGAACTTCACAGGCAAAGAAGACATGGGGTGTGGCAGATTTTCAGTCAATCAGGCAAAAGTTCTCGTATTTTGATAGTATTTCTGGCTCCCATAGGGCAATTCAATCTCAACAAAGCAATTATTTTTGGGCAATGTCTGTACTAAATCCCCTAAACCGTTAACATCCGCCACGTCTTTAATGTACCTTGTAATTTTGCTCCAATACGGCAGACATGCATAGTTTGCATGTTACTATTTTCTTCCTACTTGCATTAAACACCATCCTCGACAATCATCGTAAAGGATCGAGATTTTGCGAGCAATAGAATTTTTAAAGATTTTTCGCGACCGCGAAATTGTAACAGATTTTAATCAGTGTACTATCTTACAAGAGCATTGCTTTTTGAATAACTTTTTCAGTCCTCGATCTATACCGCGTTTTTAAAATGGAATTTTGCTCAATATTGTTCTTAGAAGCATGCATGACCGTGGGTAGTAGCGTAGAAATATTTTGAAAAATGTAGGGATTTGTCGGGAGAATCGACGCTGACGTGCATAGGTGGAAGTAGGTAGGAATCGCCTGCGCAGTAGTGAGAAACGACCAAGCGTAGCAACATTGAAGTCATTTCATAATGCTCTGAACAAAAATGGTCGAGTAATTGTGAGTGATCAGAGAATATAATTCGAAATATAAATGGAGAAAATTAGAGAATAATAGATAAATAAAGAGGAAGTAGAAATAAAGAGACAAGACAGAGAGAAGAAGCATTCAACTTGACACCGGCTTTTGAAACGAAATTGGTGGCGTTTAAGCAATGATTTTCTGTCATTTGGGCATGGTTTTTAAATACTAGAGCTAAAAATCGATTGTGAAGTGTCTGCAGGAATTAAGAGCATAGGCTTTTGTGCCTGCAAGCGTCACTCGCACCCTCTCGCAGGGTTACGAGGTCTGCTTAGAATATATTCTTTTTGCAGATGCCCACGTATTGAACTTTTAAATGATATTTTTATTTTCAAATTAGGTAAAGTCACACACGAGCGCTGGATTTTCCAAAGAAGAAGTTATCGTATTTGAAATTAAAGGAAAAGGAAAGTATTAGCCAGTGGAAATCAAAATTGTCATCATTAACGAGTTATATTTCATGTTTCTTCGCAGGTTCTTTAGTTTTTCATATCATATTAAAGTGGTGATGATAGGCCAAGCTAAGTGTTCGCCAAGCAGAATGTTGAATAAAAGGCCCCTATAAGTCACCTTGAGTGATGTATGAATTATATATTGAATTATTTTTACAGGTATTTCACTGACTTTGGTCATTGCTGTCGTAGTCACATTGTTTGTTTTACTCTTGATTGCTATCGCTTTCATCGTATACTTTTACAGAAGGTACGTCTTTCCTGCTACATCATTTTTCATGTTTTCAAGAAATTTTTCTCTGCAGGTTTGATTAAAATGACTTAGTTCATGTTACGAATACCTTCATACGATTTCCATAAATGCCTTCCATTTTTTCAAACATTTTTTATACAGAAGTTATCACATTTGCGTTGTTTGTGTCCTTTTGCCATTTTTCCACCGAGTGACTCCTTTTAATTTCAAACTACTCCTCTAGACTATACGTATAGATTTGCTCTTTATTTGAATTACTGACAGCCACGTCAATGGCAAGGGGTGCTTGGTTGTCACACCAGGGAAATCAGAGAAGTCATAAAGACTAAGTCATCATTCCATTAATCCATAATTAAATAACTCATAATAATATTACATAATTAAATATCTTTCCGTCAGGGAGTAATATTACATAACGCTTATTCCAAGAATGTTTTCAATTAAGATAGGAAGTAGCAGAACTGTCTGACGTTTAGGTTCTGCCAGTAAAGCTAAGTATAATTTTAACAAAGTTACAATTGGCCTGTTTTTCAGTCGGAAATCTAGCACCTTTCACTTCCTCCCCCCCCTCCTTCAACTAAAATATCCGTCAATTCAGATCCCTGGTTATAGCTGTCACTTTTATGTCCAATAATATTTTGTATCTTTGTCAATAAAATGTGTTAATTTCCTGTTTATCAAGGGGACATCCAAAGCATCTCCAAACTGTTCGACTTGAAAACGGGGAAGGTTCGTACACATTCGCTGTTAAATATTTCTTAAAAATTTTCAATGTACCCAGCTATTCTTTCCCTAAATAGTGAATTCGTTGATCGTAAGTAGAAGTTTTGATAAATGTTTGTATATCATTTTCTTTCCCTAACAGTTAGTTTTTCCCATAATATTTCAGGCTTTTGTTTCTATTAATCGTTTAATTTTGACTTTTGATGTCAACCAATTACGATTTCAATTATTGTAGATTCAGGCAGGCAAATTCGACCTGGAAGTTTTAAGTATTACCGAACCTATCATCAATTTTTTTTACCGGCCATCAATTTTCTCTAGAACTAGCACCGATAGGTTGAGTCATCATCATCATCATGATCATTATCATTAGCAACCTTTTTTCGATGTTTGCTAGACAGTAGTTGTGCAAATAATTTACGCTAAGATGAAGCATCTAAGAGATTGCATCATGGAAAGAACTGACTCATGTTAGTACATGCTGTGAAGCAGCATTTTTTGCCAGAAAACCAACTTCCGTTAATAATTTCAAATTCATTTATATTTATGGACGATTTGCTTCAATTTTAAAGTGAATTCGAGATCTTTGGACCTAAGTCTTAATAGCGTGACTGATAGTTTTCACATTTGGAATTCAAAATATTTGTTCATACATAGGTTTTTGCATGTGCTTTTCGAGAGAAAAATATCTTTCAGAAATGTTGTGTTCAAATTATGCAAAGTTTTAAATACCTTAAGAGTTAAAAGCTTGGTTGACCTGGTCCTAAGTTTCTCTTACCTTGTTCAGTGATTCTACCAAGAGGAAAAGGCGTTCAGAATTTCGTTAATCTGACCTATCAAGATTTGGAGGACGTTGTGCAACAGTTTGCTAACGAATTGGACCGCGGCTGGATCAAGCTAGAGCGTTTGATTGGTGGAGGTGAGTTGGTTTAAAGTTTGGTTAAGAGCATGGTTCTTCTGATAGTTAAAACTGTTATATGTTATATGATCGAGCTACTTTTTTGTTTGTTTACGTCACAAGGGCTAAATGTTTAAATTTCCTTTTTTTAACAATTACATAAAAACTGTTCAGGTGACAGACAAGTGTGTCTGTGACAGGTGCAAACATTATTCTGCACTTCTATCATTATCTTCCCAAATTACTGCTGTTATCTTCCTCGGCTCTGTCTTCTTTGATTCATCACTAAGAATTTTTTACTTTAATTTTTACACATTACACCGTCTTCTGTTGAAGATATCAGTGCTGCTCAACTTTCAGGAAATGAAGCTTCACCCTGTAGACACTTCATAGTTGCGTTTTGGCCAAATCTTTTATTTTTTCAAAATTAAACAATTGTCTTAGAAATGCTCGAATGAATTTATTGTATTATTTATAAGATGTAACGTTTTAGGCCTGAAATTAGATGTAAGGCCCACAACAGTAACATCCAATTTTAGACCTTGGCAACCATCATCTTGGCTTGTAGGCTAATGAGAATAGAAAAGGAATTTGTCGAATTCTATGAATATTCTGCAATTAAAAATTATTCTTAGGTGAATTTGGTGATGTATACATAGGAACTATGGAAAAACCTTCCGAAAAAGCACAAATTGTTGCCGTCAAGACACTCAAGGTATACGTTTGTGATCTTTTGTAGACAAACAGGATAGATGTTCTTCGTAAGACCTGGGATTCTAATGAAGCCGTGAAATAAAATCAGTTCTAGTGTAGGTTCTGAATAAACTTACACTCCTCTTCCCAAAGTATTTGAATGGTTAGGCAAAATTGATGGCCTAACTCTTACTTGCGACTTGTAAGTGACAAAGTATTATTGATTCACTAAAGTGTGAGGAACATAAAGAAATAGCGTTAGGAAATAAAAGAAATAAACTAGCAAACACATCACAGACAGACAGGTCTTTCATATTATGATGTTGCAAAGGATGTAGGCTGCACAAAGTATGCTTCTTGAAAAGGTTGAGAAATTGCAGGTCAACAAAATTTCTGAAATGGGCAAAAACATTGTTGCAGGTGCAGGTTTTGTTATTCGGCGTTGTTCTGTAAACACCGCATATTATGTTGCTATCTTCCAAGAAAATCTTTCCAAAGCGCCAGAAATATTTATGGATCATTTTCTTAGTGAAAACAGCCAACTTCTCATCTTTCTGAGAGTTTTTCTTAGTAGAAAAAAATAAGTTTGCGGACCAAGTGCAGACTTTAAAAAGTAGCTGTTAAATCGTCTATTCTGATGAGATCGTACTCGTACAGGAAAGCTCGTAATGCGACTAATTCTCTTAACATTCTACTCAGGAAAAAGTGTTATAATGACAAGATTGCTACGTGCAAAGAGGATATTAAAGGTTCTTGGAGGGCAATAAATGAAATTATAATTAAAAAATCGAAAATCTAGAAACATTGATTGCATCAAGAACTGTGGCAAGGAAATCACAAACAACAGTGAAATTGGAAACGTTATGAATGATCACTCTTTTACAATAGGTACCGATTTTGCAAGAAATATTGAAGAGACTGTGAAACCATTATTATCAGAAAAATTTCAGATAAAAAGCCCGATTCCAAAATTTAGATTTAAATCCTTACTTGCCGTGACATAAGGGAAGTCATTACCAAAACAGCCAGTTCAAAGGGCGTTGGAACTGACACTGTTTCAAGTTGTCTAGAAACTGGCCTTGCCATTTTTTGAGAATCTCTCCTTTGATACAAGCATTTTTCCAGATTTATGAAAAATTGCTAGGGCTGCACCCATTTACAAAGATGGTGATGAAAGCAAAAAATCAAAATACCATCCAATATCGGTTCCGCAATCATTTCCAGGCTCTTCGAAAGTCTGTAACCAGTTGTACAAACATTTGAAATTGAATGACCTGCTTGCAAATCCATAATCTTGTTTTCGTGCCTTGCACTCTACCGTAATCTGTCTATTAAAAACACTGATGACTGGTACAGCGGTTTGGACAATAGACAGCTCATTGGTTTGGTACTACTGATCGACTTTAGAAAGGCATTTGACACTGTAGACCTTAGTATTCTATGTCACAAATTAGAGCACTTTGGTCTCCAAAAAACGCTGTTATCATTTTTAAAATCTTGCTTTTCAATTTGCAAACAGTGCTTAAGTATAAATGGAATTGTATCTGAACAAATGGACAATAATATTGGAGTACCCCAGGGGTCATGTTTAGGGCCATTGCTATTTCTTCTCTTAATTTACCATCTACCACTAGCTGGCGAAAACTCCATGGTAGCAGTATACACTGATGATACTAGTCTCTCTTATCGATCTGATAACATTAAACAGCTAAATGAGGCAATGAATAAGGACGTTACTAGAGTCTTGAAATGGTTGAAGGATTGTCACTAAATGTTGCTAAAACAAAAGCAATGGCTACTCCAGCGAAACAAAAGGAAATGCAGGTAGCTAATAATAATAAAGCATTAACTTTAAACAGACAAGAAGAACGAATATATAGTGCCCAAACTGCCAAAAATCTTGGAATACAATTAGACAAAAACCTTAACGGAAAGGTCACATCAGATCTCTATCAACAAAATCAGTTGAGGAATTGGCTTTCTTAAACATGCCAAATAATTTTTAACACAGAAAACTCCCAAGACATTTTATGCTTTATACTGGTACTGTGGAGCCCTAATTAAGAAACTGTTGCTTAGTTTGGGAAGACTATGCTGCAACCGAAAAAAACATTTGCAAAAACTTGAAATCGAACAGCAAGAATAATCAGAAATAGCCTAATGCTAGACCACTGTTAAATGCTCTTGGACTTAAACCACTTCAGGGTTAGATCAATACTGATATTAACACTTTCGTTTACAAGGCATTTAATTGACTAGCGCCAGAATGTTTATCGGACTTATTTGTAAGAAATTCAGGAAGACATTTGCGGGCTCTTTGCAAAAACAATATAGATGCTTATCTTGTAGCGTACAGGCATGGAAAGCGTACAGGCATAAAATTCTCTACCAGTAGACAGGTATCTTCCCCACATGTCTTCAGAATCCAAAATTAGATACAACCTATTGAACTATATATCTATGTATATATTGTAAATTTATTTTGTATATATTTTATATATTTTATATTATATGTTTAAAGTTATATTATGAATTAGCTTTGGTTTTTATTTGCAAAATTGTAAATTAAATGGAGGGCTCGTTGTAAAACAAGAATTTGCTGAAGGGCTACTTTCCTTAAATTATTTGAAAAGGAAATGGAAAAACAATTATTTTCTCCCTTTTTTGTAGTCAAATGCAAATAAAAAAGCAAGAGATGACTTTTTGGGAGAGGCAGCATATATGGGACAATTTGATGACCCAAATGTCATACATCTCGAGGGTGTGGTCGTTAAAGGTATACACACATTTTTCATAAGAATACCTAATTTTTTGCCAAGCCTCAATATTCTTAAAAATTTTCGATTTTGTGCCCAAGATTATTCTTAAATTATTCTTGCCTAACACAAGATGTAAATTTGCCTAAAGATCAAATGAAAATATTAAATCTTTCTTATGTGTTGCTTCAATATGAATATCAAAGTGACAGTTGTTTTGCTTTGGGAGAAAAGACAGATTAAAGTAAAATTTTAGTCTTGATGAAGGTTGAGCCTGGCATTATTCTTATATTATTCTTAAGCTTTAGCAATTTCGAGCCTCAATGTTCTTATAGACTTTATTCTTATAAAAAAGTGTGTATAATATATTTGCTTTGAGGAAATATATTTTCCAGATCTTCTGATAGATTTGTAGATTTCTTTGTTTGTGAGCATGCAACTCAATGCCTAGCCAGTTTACCCATGTGCAATCTACCTTGTAACAACTTAGCTTGCATATAAGTACTTCTCGATATTTATGATTCGAAGCACTTCCTGTCTCGTTCCGGGAAGCACAAATTACGTGGTCTTCCAGTTTGTCTGCCAATGCTTATAAAATATTTATTTTTTTAGACCTTCCCATATTGATTGTCATGGAATTCATGAGCAATGGATCGCTTGACTCCTTTCTACAAGTATGCTAACTAAATTTCAATTTACTCCCTCAAACTATTGCAACTTGTTCAATTAGGTATGAGTATATAGTTAACCTAATCTTTATATTGAAATCACCTTTATGAATCAATCTCAATTAAGCAAAAATAATACTTTAAACTAGCTGCTTTCATAACTAAAGCCCATTGAATGTCCCATCTTGGATCAGTTTATAAGCAGTTGAAAAGTTTAGAATCCTTTGTTATGTACTGTTGTTTTGATAAAGCTGTTAGAACCCAGTTCCCTTGTCATAACTAATGAAGGGGCTGGGTACTCCTTATATTGTTTCAGTAGGAAAACGTGCGAAGCAGTAGTAAGCTTGGTCGCACAAAACAGAGTGAAAGCAGTCCGCCAGTGCTTTTAAGGCATCTGAAGAAGCGCCAGTGCTTTCAATGCCGGGTCGAAATTTTAGTTAATTTTAACTTGTATCAAAAATATTCTACTTATGTTCCATTGCTATTTGTCCTTCTTTGGCTTATTGAGTCTCTCAATCTGAAGAAATGTAACAGAACCTTTTATATCTCCACAGAAAAACGATGATAAATTTACTCCACTCCAGTTACTAGGAATGGCCCGGGGTGTGGCATCTGGAATGACGTATCTGTCTGAAAAGAGCTACATCCACAGGGTAGGTGTTGGTTTTATCGTCAATGAAAGCTTTAGTAACCGTACACCTTGTATTGCCTATACAAAATTGAGATTCAGCAAATATTTCTTTCGAGTATTGTTATTAGATTAATGTAGAAGGGGATCCGGACTAGGTTCGTTTTCCATTGGTTATGTTTCCAAAGAATGCCAGTTTTCTATTGAGAAATGATTAGATTTGACGACTGGCAAATATATTATGATAATAGCAATTGCAATGGGATAAAATACACT